AAAAAAAAAAAAAAAAAAAAAAAAAAAAAAAAACAGAAAACCAGAAAATGTGAGAAGGTTAATGCTTCCAGAAGGTCTAGTTAACAGTATGGACTACTGTTGAAAATTCAAGCATGATAATTATATACAGAAGACTTTACCAAAAGCAAGTTGCTAGTGAGTTGAGGTAGTAAACTACCACAACCTATATAAAGCTACTGGGAGAGCACCACTAAAAGCTTTAAGAAGACAATAAACCAGAAAACATTCTTTGTGATCTCAGAATAGGCAAAGATCTCTTGAAGAAGACATTTGTGATTGCATTAAAAATAAAATGACAATTACTAATTGCATGAATAATAAAATTGAAGATTGATGAATATGGCCACATTAAAATAAACAGCTTCTCATCCTCAAAATAGGCTATACCATTTAAGAAACAAGGTACAAAATGGAATAAGGTATTTTTAATGTTTAAAAATGATGAAGACTCTATACTCAGACTCTGTGAATAAAAAAGAAAAAACAAAAGAGAAAAAAAGATAGACAACCCAATAGAAAATGAGCAAAAGACCTGAACAGACACTTGGAAAAAGAGGAGATCCAAATGGCCAATCAACATACGAAAAAGTGCTCACTGCACTCCAGCTTGGGTGACAGACTGAGACTTTGTCTCAAAAAAACAAAAAACAGTGTTCAACTTCTTTAGTAATTAAGCATATGCAAATTAAAACCATATTCCTCTTTGATTTACCAGTTCCTACCCTCTTACTCCACAATAATAAAAAGTTTGAGAACATCAAGTGCTGGCAAAGATGAATTCTCAGAAGCTGTTGGTGGGAAAACACATTAGTACAAAATTTTTAAACAGTTTGGCATCATAAAAGTGAAGGTACATAAAATTTTGACCAGATATTCCACTCCATGTGTAGAAATGGAATTTAAAAAAAACAGATATTCCACTCCATATGTAGAAATGGAATTTAAAAAAAACAATCAGAATTCCTGCACAAAAAGTGTTCTTTGAAGCATTGTTAACATATTCCCAGACGAGAAACAATTCAAATGTCCTTTGACAGTAGGATGGATAATCTGACCTTTCATTTAATGACAAATCATACAGTATTAAAAAATGGATGACCTGAAGTTTACATATAATCATATAAATGAACCCCTTAATGCTGTCTTAAAGAAGCAAGATGAAAAAACAAGCAAGCAAGCAAACAAACAAACAAAAAACACACAGAGAGAATGTGATTCTAACGACAGTGTTCAAAAATGGGTAAACGGCTGGGCACAGTGGCTCATGCCTATAGCTCTAGCACTTTGAGAGGCCAAGGTGAAACGGTCACTTGAGCCCAGGAGTTTGAGACCAGCCTGGGCAACATAATGAGACCCCCATCTCTACAAAAAACTTAAAACTTTTTAACGAGTAAAATTAAAGTATATTGCTTAGAAATATGTACACTTAAGTGATAAAACTATAAAAAAGCAAGAATAGGTTATCACAAAAGTCAGAATAATGTTTACCTCTATGTGTGAGGGGACTGTAATTGGGAAGGAGGTGAGGTGAGGGGAGTTTTGGGGGTATGACATTGTTCTACTTTTTGACCAGAGTAGTGGCTATAAGGGTTATAAGGTTATAAAGAATTGCTTTCTAATTATTTTGTAAGATATATACGTTTTATGTTCTTCCTGTTTGAAAATTATCTCACTATAAAAAAGTTAAAAAAAAAACAAAACTACTTCTAAAATTATATTACTTTATCCTGAATTAATTTTGCTATTTCTTCCACTGATACTTTTCAGCAGAAATTGATTAAATCAATGTGACAAATGAAGCTAGTAAAATGTAGCCACACACGTTTTATCTTGCTGCTAAAATTCCCTATATTTGTGGAATCAGATAAAGATTTAATTTTTTTTTTTTTAATTTCTAGGTTGGCTCATTACAAGCATGCTTTCTTGCAAAGAGGAATTTCCAGATTGATGTATATGAAGCTAGGGAAGGTACATCCATGGTGAAAATTGTGTGATGAAGGCTGGGCGTGGTGGCTCCCAGCATTTTGGGAGGCCAGGGCAGGTGGATTGCTTGAGGCCAGGAGTTTGAGACCAGCCTGGGCAATATGGCAAAACCCTGTCTCTATAAAAAATATAAAAATTAGCCTGGTGTGGTGAATGTGCTCCTCTAGTCCCAGCTACTGGGTAGGAAAATTGCTTGAACCCAGGAGGCAGAGGTTGCAGTAAGCTGAGATCATGCTACTGCACTCCAGCCTGGGTGAAAGAGTGAGACTCTATTAAAAAAAAAAAAAAAAGGAAGGAGAGAGAGAGAAAGAGAGAAAGGAAAGAAAGAAAAGAAAGAGAAACAGAGAGAGAGAAAGAAAGAGAGAGAGAGAAAGGAGGAAAGGAGGAAGGGATGGAGGGAGGGAGAGAAATAGAGAAAGAAAGAAGGAAAGAAAGAAAGGAAGAAAGAGAGAGGGGGAGGGAGGGAGAAGGAAGGAAGGAAGGAAGGAAGGAAGGAAGGAAGGAAGGATTGCAGGATGTGGTTCTAATTCTTTGACCTATTTTTCTTTAGATTTTCTGAACTTAGTCTATTTAATAAAACAATTTTTTTAAAAAACACCTATCTCAATTTAATTTAATATAAATGTACTGCTATTAGCATTTTCTTTAGAAGAGTTACGAAGGTCTTTAATTTGGTTCTGAATGAAAAATTGTTCAGGCGCAGTAATTTTGCTCATCCAGGACTAGGATATAAAGTTGTGTGTAACATGGAGTTCTGCTTCCAATGTCTCAGATATTCGAGTGGCTAACTTCACACGTGGAAGAAGCATTAACTTAGCCCTTTCTCACAGAGGACGACAAGCCTTGAAAGCCATTGGCCTGGAAGATCAGGTACCGAATGTATTTTTTTAATAGAAGATAATACCTGGTATTTTTCAACAATTGCTTGGATTTCACTTCATCCTGGCTTAAAAAGTACTATTTAATGCCAAGAATCTCTGCATGAAACTCATTCGACTAAAGCTTTTAAAATTCAAAACTTGTTGGCAAGAGGGCAAACATTGGATGCTAGAGGCACCCGAGGGGGGTCCTGCAACACATGATTGCTTCTAATATTGGGTTCTCAACAGGACAGTGCATCACTGCCTGTTTAAAGTGAGAGTCGAGGTGGCATCCAGGATAAGAGGAGCCAAATTCCTTTTTTTTTTCAATCACACAGACCCATAATCTCTTACCCACAATTCTGTACTCCAAAAAAAACCTCTGAAAATAGAAGGCTTCTCATCATCCATTGAGTAGCAAAATCTGACCTGACAGGAGATACTTCATAGTCTTTCAAAAATCTCATTTAGCATAAATATGTTTTGCTATAAATTTTGTGTTTGATTATGGGGTGGGTTTGGGAGATAGCCAGCATATATGTACTACACTACTTTCTAAAATTGAAAATTTCTGAATTCTGAAACCATCGAGCCCCATGGGTTTGGCTAAACAATGGTGGGCCTATAGCAGATTTTCATCATATGAGCTTAATGTTGTAGAACTTCTCACTGTCTACATGTAGCTTGGTAATATAAGCAAACATGTCAGATGTATTTTTCTTGATACTGTTTTCAGTGACAATGTGTCTTTGAGCTGTTAATACAAGTAAATGTGAGTGCTATTTGCATTCTTATTATTTTCTCCCAGATAGCAGCAGCCATGTGTAAGAAAACACTCTACACTGAATGGCAGGAGCCCTGGGTTTTACCCATAATATCCCTTTTTGTCATGATGACAAAATCACTTAACCTCTCTAAAACCAAATCACTTTCCTTGATCTGTGATATTTGATTTAGATCAGATAAATTTTAAGCCAGTTCTAAGATCTAAGATTTAAAAAACAAAAAACTGAAAGCTTCAGGATCACCATTTTCATTGAAGGAGTTTCTACCATGTTGGGCTTCTATCGTTCTCACAATTTAAAAAAATTTTTTGAACATATGTGAAATTACATTTAAAAATCAATTTCTATCTTTCTTGCATAATGCCATGTTACTGTCATTGAAGTCAACATTTCTGGTTTCATTTCAGATTGTATCCCAAGGTATTCCCATGAGAGCAAGAATGATTCACTCTCTTTCAGGAAAAAAGTCTGCAATTCCCTATGGGACAAAGACTCAGGTAGGTTTACCCTGGTGATCATTGCTTGTGCATTGATTATAACTAAGTCAACATCTGAAATTTGCCTCTTGCCTGATGGCCCCTCCCTCTCCAGCCCTATCTCTGACATTGCTTGGCTCAGTCTAGACCCGGGGAATAAATACTAGTTAGCAAGTTTATTCAGAGGAGATGCTCAAAAGAAGGCCCAGCCAAGAATAAACATTCAAAAAGAATTAGCTGTTACTGTTCTTAGTGTACAGTTTCTTGCCTTTGTGCCGCCCCACTACCAGGGACACGCTTTCCCTCTTTTCTCCTTTTCAATTAGATACAGATGACTGCCTTATTTGTCGTCAAGCACAACATGCAAGAACAATCTAGAGGGTTTCATGATGCTATTGCCCTTCCCTCACTCACCCTGTCGCTCAAAACTGGGCTTATAATAGAATGTAGAGAATGATCTAGAAATGCTTACAGTACTACATGATTTCTAAAACAACAGAGGCCAGATGAAGACGGAGAGTTTACCAAAGGCGCATCATTATCCTGCTTTGTGCTTTCCTTATCTTTCACATAGTAACACACAGAACAAGGAGAAATATGTATTTTATCTAATTATACCTTCTGATTCTGTTTCTTGAGACAGAATGAATGCATCAAACACCCATCCACAGGAGAAAAACTCTAACTTGCTTTATTTTTATCCAGCTATGCCTCCTTTCATTAAGTGCAGAGTCTGAGTGAGATTCATATCCAAGTCTCTGACCCTCAGCAGAGCTCCGATTGGAGGTAGACCTGTGCTTCTCAAGCTCACATGGAATCTTGTGAAAATGCAGTCTGACTCAGTAGGACTGGGGTGGAGGCAGAGGTTCTGTGTTTCTAACAAGCTCCCAGGTGCTGGTTCATGAATCACACTTTGGGTAGCAAGAGATAAAGCACATATGTTCATGGGAACACGATCTTCGTGGCTCTTGGGATGATCAGTGTGGCTGAAAGTAAAACATTCCATCCACTCAGGGCTGTGGGAGTCAGGGCAAGCTCAACACTTTCTATTTAATGACTTTTTAAAAATAATAACCTGCTTATTTTGGCCTTATAAAAACACAGGTACAGAGTCTTAATACATGAGCCTGGTAGGGGGAAGAAATACTAGAGTCACCTTCAGTGGGAAAAACATTTTCAGATAATTAACATGTCCTTTAAATTGGCCCCCAATTGAGCTAGGTGCTATAGGAAAGACAAAAGAATTGTCTCTCTTCAGCAGACAAGTAAGATTTGCATAGCCAAGTCAAATATAAGCTGTCCATATTAAGTGTGTCACTCCAGTAACCAATAATTGCCCCTCTTGCATGCCATGCCCTGAGCAAGTTGCTGAGCGTAAAAGAAGTGCTTGTAGCCCGGGAGGGATGGACAGTGATCAGATTCATGGGAAAAAACCTTGGGTGAGCGATGGCTCAGACAAGGAAATCTAAAGTGGCTCAGAGAGGGAGAAAAGTTTTAGTTTTCAGGGAAGACTTCCCAGAGAAAGTGAGATTAGAAACCAACATTTTGTTTAAATCTTAAATTGGCAGCAAAATAGTTGTCCCAATCAAATGGGGATGTATCTACGGAAGGAAATTGGATGAGATCCGATATCTAAGAAATGTACATTTTTAAGTGCCAAGTGTGTATTGGATGAGAAAACTTGTAAATACACTTTAGCATGACAGAATCTTACAGTGATTCATTGAATCCACCCACCATGGTTTACAGATGAGGAAACAGGCTGCATGACTTACATGAGGGTAATGCTGAGGAAGAGTAAGTCAGGTTTCATCACCGGAGCACGGCCCTTACACGTGGTACAGGAGCCCTGGGGGCTACTGCTTAGATGCATTTACTTCTTTGGCTAAGTTGAGAGTAAAATCAACTTAATCATCTCACTGTTCACTTGTGTTAACAAGGGATGTACTGAGGAAGGCCAAGTCATCACCGCCATCCCCGCTGCAGAGGCTGAACCAGTAACACGTATCCGTAGATAAGATACTCTTCAAATATCAGAAAAGCTAAATGAGGAGATAGATTTGGGCCTGACACCATCACCCTCACCACCACGTCTGTCTCTCTGTGTGTGTGTGTGTGTGTGTGTGTGTGTGTGTGTGTGTGTGAGAGAGAGAGAGAGAGAGAGAGAGAGAGAGAGGGTGCATACATTCCTCGAGATAGTGAGTGTTGGCGGAGTTCCCATTTTGTGGCCTTCAATGCATTACAAGGAGGAAATGGCCCCTACCACATAATTCCTGCTACTTCTCAATTCTTAAGAACTGAGTTAATGCTAAATTTACAGGTGCCCCTCATACTTCAGTTTTTCTTTATTGTTACTTTTATGTCTCAGTAAAATACAGGGGCCTGCTTGCTCTTTAAAAACGACATACAATTGCTTTAACTGGTCAGTTCCACAGCCTTGGAAGCACAAAGCCATTCCCATGACTCCAGGATTTCTCCATATCCCTGGGGAGCCTACCTTCTCTTGGCTTCCTTTGCCTCTTGGTACCCCACTCCTTCTCACCTGGTGTTGGTCACATACCCTGGTGGTCTGGATTTGAAATCTCCTCCTCAAATTCCGACAGACAATACTCACTCAAAAGATGCATGAGTCTGCTGAAGACCTACGGGTCATGAAGAGACCTCCTTGTGCACGGCATGGGCAATGACTTAGAAATGTCTAATCTGCAAATGTTGTCCTCCAAAATCCTTTCTGACTCCCTTCCCTGGCCTCCTCCTTCAGCTGTTTTTTCCTTCTGAACTTTCTCCGATGTGATGTCCAGACTCTTCTTGTCTTGCTGGGTCCTCCCATCTTCTCCCCAAACTGCCCTGGAAACTGTCAAAATATTCTCTAATACACAGAACAGGTCAGAGCTCCCCAATTCTTAATCCTAACCTCCTATGCTCAAAATAGAGAAATGGCTCCCCCTTACTAGAAAACATTCTCATTTGAAGGCATTGAGAATAGAGAAAATAAACATGTTTTTCTAACATATCTGAGGTAGTCAGTACTACGTATAACTAACGTCCTACAGATCTTCAAAGGATATATCTAATCTTTCTTAGGTCTTACTATTATCTTTTTTGTTAAGATAGAGGCCACTTTATAGCTCTTGACTTGTTTATTCTTATTTATTCTTCATCAGACCAATCTTTTAGAATAAATATTGAAGAAGTATTACTTGATGGGAATGACTCAAACCTTTGGTTGTGATATAATACAGTCCAAAGATATGGAGTAGACTAGAAAGGGACATTCTGGTGCTCCTGCAGGGCTGACATGTCTATTAGTTCCCTGATGAGTGAAGTGGAAAGAACATGTTTTCCCCATGTAAATTAATCTTCATAATTTGAGCCAAGCACGGTGGCTCATACCTGTAATCCCAGAACTTTGGGAGGCAGAGGCAGGTGGATTGCTTGAGCCCAGGAGTTGAAAACCAGCCTGGGCAACATGGCAAGACACTGTATCTATTAAAAAAATTAAAAATTAGTTGAGCAGTCCCAGCTACTTGGGAGACTAAGGTGGGAAGATCGCTTAAGCAGGGAGGTTGAGTTGGAGTAAGCCATGATCATGCCACTACACTCCAGCCTGGGCAACAGAGCAAAACCCTGTCTCAGAAATTTTTTTAAAAATAGAAATTAAAAAATCTTTATAATTTGAATGTTTCCTAACAGACTTTAAATAACAAGCTTGATTTCTGTTGAAATACAGTCTATTAACAACCTAGCTTTGAGGCAGAGAATGAAGATGTTTCAGTTCATTTTAAATTATACAAAGACAGGAAGCCCCTTTTCAGTCATTGCCATTGACCAAGTTATTCTGACACCAAGTACAGATTTGGCTGTTAATATATACTTCTACTTTTGGATGAAGTGAGAATTTATAAATTAGCATATATATATATTACATATAAATTAGTATATATGTGTTTATAAATTAGTATGTGTGTATGTGTATATATATATACATATATATATCACTTTGACATGTGTGTATATATATATACATATGTATATAAATATATATGTATCTATATACACACACATGTCAAATTGATTTTAGTTTACTTTTAAATCAGAAGGAAAAAAGTGGCAGGGCATGGTGGCTCACACCTGTAATCTGAGCACTTTGGGAGGTCAAGGCGGGCTGATATCCTGAGATCAGGAGTTTGAGACCAGCCTGGCCAACGTGGCGAAACCCTGTCTCTACTAAAAATACAAAATTAGTTGGGCGTGGTGGCAGATACCTGTAATCCCAGCTACTTGGGAGGCTGAGGCAGGAGAATCTCTTGAACCCAGGAGGTGGATGTTGCAGTGAGCCAAGATTGCACCACTGCACTCCAACCTGGGTAATGGAGCAAGACTCTGTCTCAAAAAAAAAAAAGGAAAATAAAGCATTGTAGGCCCTTAGGCACTATGATTCCCTTGCCTCAAGGAAAGGTCAGCTTTGCTGAAATGTCCTATGAAGTCAGAAACAACCAACCCATGTCTCATGCGAAGACTGGTCCTACTCCTACCAACCTTCATCCCTACCACAACCCACACCCACACCCACACCCACACACACACCCCGCTTTTACATTGAAATGAAGGCATTCAAAGTTGTCTCTTTGGGGAATGGCAATTTGATTTTAGTGATATTGTCATCACTGAAGTTTTTCTAAGAGCTAAATTTGGAGACCTAAGCTGAAAATATTTGATTATAAAACAAAACTTTCTTGATGAAAATTATATTTTAGCTGCAACAGAAGAATTTGACTTTTAAAGTATTAAACTTTGAAAAAGTCTAAGTGTAAACTTGGATACTGTATTATATGTATTTGGTTAAAGTGTTTTTTTAAAAAAATAAAAAATAAAAAAACCAAAGGTCACTTAACTAAATGATTACAAAACTAAGCTTGCAACCCTCTGCTAAATAATAAATACGTTTTATTGCTGAGTGAATAACTTAAAATTATATTTGTCCATTCACCAGAAACAAACTGTATCTACTCTACTTTTCTTGCAGTATATTCTTTCTATAAGCAGAGAAAATCTAAACAAGGATCTACTGACTGGTAAGTCTAAAGCTTTGATTCACCAGTTGTCATTTTGAGTAAAGCACATGACACTAATCTTAACGGATTTGTTTGCGGCTCCTTTTTATGGGTTATGAAGAGCAAGACTGTACATTACAGAGTCCTTCTTGAAGCTAGGTATGACAGCTCATGCCTGTAATCTCAGCAATCTGGGAGGCTGAAGCCAGGATCTCTTGAGCCCAGGAGTTTGAGACCAGCCTGGGCAACATGGAGAGACCCCATCTCTACAAAAAATAAAAAATTAGCTGGGTGTGGAAGCGTGTGCCTATAATCCCAGCTACTCAAGAGCCTGAGGTGGGAGGATCACTCGAGCCAGGGAGGTCAAGGCTGCAGTGAGACGTGAGCAATGTGATTGTGCCACTGCACTCCAACCTGGGCAACAGAGCAAGACCCTGTCTCAAAAAAAAGAAATAAATAAACAAAGTCCTTCTTGAAAATACCAATTGCCTAAAGTTTTTAGAGACAAGTCCTTGCTGTCGCTCGGGCTGGAGTACAGTGCTGTGATCACAGCTCACTGCAACCTCGAACTCCTGTGCTCAACTGTCTTCCCACCTTGGCCACTCGAGTAGCTGGAACTATAGACACATGCTACCACATATGATTAATTTAAAAAAAATTTTTAAAGGCAGAGTCTTGCTATATTGTTCAGGTTGGTCTTGAACTCCTGGCTCAAGTGATTGTCCCACCTCAGATTCCAGAGTAGCTGGAATCACAGGTGCTAACACCCATTGCACTGGCAATTATCTAAATTGAAATCATTTGTTCAACATATACTGCACCCCTATGGTCTCTTAGACACTGAGTGAATGAGTGCTCACTCTGATGAAGAATTCACACTCTAATGGAACGAGAGATAAACTCAAACAATTTGTAAAGTGACACAATGAGATTTGCCTTTTAGAGAGATGAAAAGCTATAGTGGGAAGACTGAGAAAGGGTTGCAATCTTCAAGGCATTTCCATAAACTCTGGGTGCAGAAGAAGGACCCAGGAATAAAGCTATAGTAATGTGGTTGGAGAATAGGGTGTAGATTCATGATATTTGTAAGAGAATAAATAGGTAGATAGGGAGAAAAAATAAATAGATATTTGTAAGAGAATAAATAGATACAGAAAATTGAAAAAGGGAAAGGTGTAAAACATAACCCTGAACTTTTAAATTTGTGTAACCAAAAAGGCCTACCTATCCATGTAAAAGCCACTGGATTACAAATTAAATTTGTGGCTTGCATAGTCAATCCAATCGCACCCCATGTAGCCCTTACTAAGTTTAAGCCTAGATTGTCGTAGCTTTTCCTCCCTTCAGCATTTGTATTAAGCAGATTTATTCCCAGCAAAGCATGCTACTTAATATTTCTACTATCTTTAAAATTTGTCCCTTGTGATGGAGTCCAGTAGACTGATTTCTGAACAGAGGCTGTACATGATTTATCTTTGTTTCTCCTCAATCCCCTCAATATATCTGCTGAATGGAATTGAATCTAATGGGATTAAACTGGGAGGAGGAGGGCTATGAGGAATTTCACTTTAGTTGATTCATCAGATACAAGAAAGAAGGTTTAGTATTGTTATTAATCTTATTTCTTTAGTTACATTTGTCAGACTGCCTTCTGGATGGGTAGATGGGTGGAGTGGAGCCAGTTTGCTAGGTATATTCAGGTTGATCTCAAGAAAGTAAATGAACCAGCTGGGTGCAGTGGCTCACATCTGCAATCCCCGCACTTTGGGAGGCTGAGGAGGGAGGATGGCTTGAGCCCTCCAGGGTATAGTTGCACCACTGCACTCCAGCCTGGGCCACAGAGCAAGATGTCAACTCTAAAATATCAAAACAAAACAACAACAAGAAAACCCCATACAAAACAGCTTTTACAAAAAGCGGTATAGCAGACCTATGACACCGTCTTTCTGAGACTCTCCCAATTCATCAAGATAAAAATAACAGCAAACATTCATTGAAGCACCAGACTCTATGTCAAGTGTTTTACATGCATAGATTTGCATAAACCCTCCAACAGCTCTATGGAGGGAAATTACTTTTATCTCCGGTGAAATGGAGGCTTAGAAAGCTTGGATCACACTGTTAATAAGTGGTAGAATCTGGATTTGAATTTGAGTTTGTTTATTCCAAAGTCCATGCTTTTCACTATTGATGATTTCTTCCTCCAATATTATATATAAAACATCTGCTAATATGAAGGAGGCTAAAACATGGGAAAGGTACAATCTTGGTGTACACATCAGAAGTTCCCAAATTGTTTTTCATTAGGAGTGCTCTGCATGGCATGCAACTTCATAAATGCCATAAATATGTCCATAAAATGAATGCTGAATCTCTCGACTCTTCAACTTTGTTAGGCACATAAAGTTCGTTCTTTCTTTACAAGGCATTGAATGTGGGAGGTTTTCATTCCACATATTTAATCAATTAGATATGCTCATTTCTCCCTAACTGCAAAACCTCCCCTCTGAAAACACTGTCACTACATGAAATCCCTATCAGCTTTTCACGTGGGATTGTTTCATAGTTCATTCACTATTCTGCAAAATGTTAGTAATTGTTAAGCCAAACAAAACAGACAAAGGATATGTGAATGAATAGGTTTGACAAATCCTGCATCAAACAAGTTTTCAGTCTTTTTTCCTGCAGTACTTCTCAGGGCTTTTATTACATACTTGGTCTGCATTGTGGATCTTTCAGAGCAGCACAGTGCAACATGTGGCCACAAATACCAGGCACATGTATACTTTTCAAATTTATACTCACCATGATGAAAACAAAAACAAAAAAGAAGCAGGTGGTGTTATTTTTTAATAAGATATTTTAACCTAGGCCAGGTGTGAGGGCTCACATCTGTAATCTCAGCACTCTGGGAGGCCAAGGCTGGTGGATCACTAGAGGTCAGGAGTTCAAGACCAGCCTGACCAACATGGTGAAACCCTGTCTCTACTAAAAACACAACAATTAGCTGGGTGTGGTGGTGGGCACCTGTAATCCCAGCTACTTGGGAGGCTGAGGCAGGAGAATCACTTGAACCCGGGAAGCAGAGGCTGCAGCAAGCTGAGATGGCACCACTATACTCCATCTTGGGCAATAAGAGCAAAACTGTCTCTAAATAAATAAATAAATTTTAAAAAAGATATTTTAACCTAATACATCCAAAATATTATTATTTCAATATATAAACAATATCAGAAAGTTATTCACTGTCATTCCTTTTAAATATACTTTTAGTTCTAATTTGCCAAAATCCTGTGCAGGCAACACATCTCAACGTAAGATTGCCACACTCCAAGCATTCAAATGCCACATACAGCTAGACACCAGGACAGCGCAGACCAAGACAGAGTATTCACCATTACTCTGCTGTCTTTGACAAAAGAACAGTTTTTTTAGGGAGTATATCCCAGGACTAAAGTTCTATAAAAAAATTATTTAGGATGTAATACTATACACTTATGTAAAAAATAAAAATAAAAAATTTTAAAGTTTTTTTTCACAAACACATGTTATGTTTCTAAAATATATCCTTGGTATATCAGGTCAACTCTGATTACTCCAAAGTTATTTGTTAAATTATTTCTTATACACAGATGAATTTCTTTGGTTTAGGGTCTCTCAGGTTTTGCAAGAAAGCTAAAATCTACAAACCCCAAATCTAACTGAAACAAAACAGAATAAGGCGAGATTGAGATGAAGAGGAGAGATAAGTGCAGACAGAAATATTGAGTCGGACGGCAGAACTCCTGGCTTATTTTTCTCATTTTTTTCTAATTCAATATTCTTTTTATTTACTTTCTTGACATACAAAAACCGTACGTAATTAATGTATGCCACTTGATGAGTTTGGTTCTTAACGTTTTCACTTTGTGTGATCTCAGGCATTTTACCTTTGCTTGCAGAATCTTGGTCACTCCCTTTTTAAGATGAAGAACTAAATCATCTCTGAGGTCTATTCCAGCTCCAACACCTGTATTCTAATTTGTACCTTTAAGAACAATAAATAGGCTGTGTTTATTGATGAATACATGAGCATTAATAGGGACAAGATCATATTTTACTGTTGTAACAAGAACATGATTAATAGTTCATAAAATGAAATCCACTGAATTCTCTAGAGTGCTAGCAGGCAAAACAGAAAATTACTAAAATAATTGGGTTAGTTTATTGAGAAGTTTCAAAGCTTCTTACTCATTTTCCCCCTAACTATTCCGGTGTTTGATTTCAAAGATATTTAAAATCAATAACCTCTATTTGTGACAACTTCAATCAGAAGTCCAGAAAACTAGCTAAAAAGGAGATGTAGAGACGTGCATATATGTGGAAAGGGGTTTGACTGAATATTTCCAATCATAGTAAAGCCTCAGATTACAGGCAACTTTTGAAATATGTGATGCTTGCTTCTTTCCCAGGGTGCTAATAATTACAGCAATGCAAGAGTTTGCACAACGGAATTAGTTGGATATTTTCTTTTTGAGATGAGGGTAATTGATTTTTATTCATCTGTTTTACTATCAAATTATACTGAAATTGTTGCCAAACAGTTATCAAATTATCATTTAAGTGAATTTAGTTTTACACTGTTATGAATAAAATTCTTACCATACTGTTCCCAGAAAATAATTAATATTTCAATTTGATCAAGTGAAATAAGAATTGAAATTTCATTTCCATTTGCCTCTTTCTTCGTTTCCACAGCTGTTGAGAAATATCCCAACGTGAAAGTACACTTCAACCACAGGCTGTTGAAATGTAACCCAGAGGAAGGAATGATCACAGTGCTTGGGTAACTATGGGTCAGGTTTTGGACTTCAGAGGTGAAAGCTGGGAGTGGAGAATTGTATCTGTAAACTTTGTTCTTCGGCTCTTTGGAAAGAGTTAAAAGATTATTGAAAGGGTAATCCAAATAGTTTCTAGATTCAAAGAATTTTATATTGAAAATAGGGCCCTGATGTCTTCTGAACACTAATGGCAATAATTTCTAATTCTCACCCTCACTTACCTTCCTGCTGCACTCTGTTCCACACTGGTGACTCTAACATGCTTCAAACTCTCTCCTCTCTCAAAACGAGGTGACCTTCCACTGCTCTCCTCCTGTTCTCTTTTCAGGTGCTATTTCTCTGCCTTTCCTCGGATGATTCTATTTTATCTCAAGTTCGAAGCCTCATATCCCACTCTTGCGATATTCTATGGATCCACAGTCCTGGGTTCAACAACCACCTCTCTTAAATAAACATTCCAGTCCATGCCTCTCTCTTTGTTCTACATCCTTATAGAAGCTCTAATCAATTTATGTCAATTTCTCGTTGAACATCCTTGCGGGAACACCTGGCCATTATCTCAAACACATCTAAAACCTTGATCACCTATTTCTCCCAAATCACATCCCATTCCCGACTTCCCCAGTAACAGTGCCCAGGTAATTAGAATCATTTGTGATGTGTTCTTTCCCCATCCTCTCTCATTAAATCTATAACACTCCCCAGTCTTCCTTACTTCCTATTGGCTTCAGAGTCTTGTCTTTCTCCTTCCAGCTGCAGGACAGTGCTTCTGGCCCTCACCCCTGCACGTGTAATATAAGATGTTGCTATTACCCCATCCCTGTTTTTGGCCCCCTTGGCCCCTCTGGCATTCTGCCTCTGCTTCAAACTGCCAAGGAAGTTTTCTTAAATTACAACTCTTCATGCATCATTCCCCTAATAGAAAATTTCAGTTTCCCTTTTGCCAGAATAATGTTTTAAAATCTTTTATCTTAACATTCAAGGTTCTTTTCATCTCCTCGTTCCTTTCTCTCCCTACCTTCTATTCTTTTCTTAAGCTTATCTCCTCATACCTCTGCTTAAGTCAAATGTATTGTTCTTAGAAAATCCTGGTCACATCCTTGTGGTTCTTCATACATCCGTTTGCACACTTGAAACACTCTCTCTGTTTTCAACATTCTCCTCCTTCATGCAGAAATCTCAAATCCTGTCATCCATACTTCTGTGGCCTACCATGTCTTCATTAATCAGTATGGTTTTGTGTTATTCTCATAAGCAAACTTATGACTGAGACAAGAGTTTTCATCTAAATGTTGTATCTACTAACTCAAAGACCAAGTCACGCATATAAAAGTGAGCTTTCTAAGTTATCTATGGAGCCACTACTTGTCATACCCAGATGTACATCATCATTTTCACCACTGGACATTTTTTTCTTTTGGATGGTTTGTTCTATTTTTCAGATCTGACAAAGTTCCCAAAGATGTCTCCTGTGACCTCATCGTAGGATGTGATGGAGCCTATTCAACTGTCAGATCTTACCTCATGAAGAAGCCTCGCTTTGATTATAGTCAGCAGTACATTCCTCATGGGTACATGGAGTTGACTATTCCACCTAAGAACGGGGATGTAAGTCCTTGCCTTTTCTCAACTCCTTCCCACAACCCTCGCACCATGAGTGTAAATGCATATGCTAGTGCAGTGGTTTTCAGCAGCATGTCTTGATTCATTTTGAGGCCTGCCACAAGAACTTTGTGATTAGTAATAAATTAGATGCATGGGTATCTTTTTAATAATACAATTCTCACTCCTTTCTTTTTTGATAACCTTTTTTGAGTGAAAAGAAAAGAGAAGGCTGGGCACAGTGGCTCATGCCTCTAATCCCAGAAATTTTGGAGGCCAAGGCAGGAGGATCACTTGAACCCAAGAGTTCAAGACCAGCCTGTCTCTGTAAAAAATGCAAAAATTAGCCAGGATGGTGACATGTGCTTGTGGCCCCAGCTACTCAGGAGGCTCAGGTGGAAGGATTGCTTGAGCCCAGGAGGTCAAGGTTGCAGTGAGCCGAGATCATGCCACTGCACTCTATCCTAAGCAATATAGCTCAAACCTGTCTCTACAAAAGGAAGGAAGGAAGGGAGGGAGGGAGGAAAGGAGGGAGCGAGGGAGGGAGAGAGGGAAAGCAGTTACAGCCCTCCTACTGGAAAGCGCATTTGAATAATATTTGTCTATGTTCTCTTGGGAGAAAAAAACAGGTTGAGGCTGAAGCCTTCAGTATTCTGACAATCCAGTGTTCTTATAACCATGATTAAATCAAATAATAGTTATTAAGTAAAATGACTAGAAAAATGTTGCAAAGAGATTTCTATTGTGGTTTTCTCATTTCCTGGTTCCCACTGTTAAACCATATGGGACCAGAGGCAAATAAGCAGTATGTAATTTATTATATTGTCATAAGCAAATAAGTATAGGAACTTGTTAAGGAAAACAATGCTAACAGAAACAATAAGGATATTGGCTTATACGGATGGATGTGCAACTAACATTAAATACTTGATTTGCATATAAAGCATACATTTTTAAGATGCTGATTTAATCTCTCCTCTGAAATCCAGACAACTGTAAAATAGTCAATATGGAATAGCATTGTTAAATATCAACAAACTGTATCCACCAGTAATATCCATATTTTAACATTTCATTACCTTTCTATTTCATCCTCACAGTCGAAATGTATTTGCTAATTTTTCAGTGCTTATTTTACTGGTTTTCAGGTAGGTTCTGTTATCATGGCCCAGAATCTGGTAACTCTGGATGATAGGATAACAGAATTCTGTTGAAAAATTGTTCCAGACTGAAGAAGAACTGTGCTTGTAGATTTAAGAAAGCCCTTTATTTTCTAGGTATACATAATAAATAGTAACTATTAATGGTTTTTAAAAATGTCTCCACTCTTTTAAGAACATTTTTTAGACATAGCAATGTTACTCAGACATGGGAACATTTTGACATGGCCCAAAAACAATCTTATGAGACTTTCTCTATTTTTCTTTCTGTTTTTTTCTTTTGTTCTTAATGTAATGCATGCAATAGACAGTTGCACTCCTCTGATGGTTGCAGTGGGGACAAGGGATTGGGTGAGTGGCTTTCTACCACTAGTATTACTATTAAAAAGAAGTAATTGCTTTTCATATGTATTCATCTTGCCTATTCAATTGCGCTGTAAGGTCAAGAGATATGCATGCACTCATTTCTGTGTCTGTGTGTTGGGCTTTCTTTGGGAATCTGAGGCTAAAAAAAACAAGAAAAGCACAGTCCCTTCACCTAAGACACAAATAACTATGATACGGTGTAAAAATGTTAGCTCCAAGACTAGGCTGTTTTTTCGGTATTCTTGCTGTGCAAGATACACATGCAAGGTGCTCTCAAAACATTTGTAAAAAGTAATACAAATTTGAAATAGTTGGAAAATTGGTTGCATATTTTTATGTCTATAATGTCCCTGGGAACCTTCAAAAATTTGGGTCACTTGGGCCTTTGGATCAATTGATCTACCCACACAATTAATACTTCCTTGGGGCTGTTATTGTATTAATAGTAATCACAAAGGAGTCACTAAAGAGACAAGACTCTTCTCTATTATTTATGTTATAGGAAACAAATGATAAAAAGCTTATTTCTAAACTTTTGGTTTTGGCTCATGAAATTTAAGACCTTCTGTCCAGGATAGGTAAGTTCTGAAAAAAGGCAAAAGGTAAAGTAACTTATACACACACAAAGTAATGTATACACACACATACACATCTAGATATGTGCATGTGTGTGTACATAGATACCAGGTATAATTATACCAGGTATAATTCAAGATTTGAGAAAATAAGATGCTCTTTCTGTCTTTTTTCATACATGTACACACACATACAAGTATTCTAAAATCGTAAATTACACGTGATATCAAAAACCCACCCAAGATTGAGTTTATAAAGACAGAACACAAAGTATTTTCTAAGGCAACTTCTATTTTATGTGGCAATAGATGTGCATATCATTGTGCATATGCTACTGTTGTTTAAGTTACTGTAGACACTATTATAAAGCTGAGTCAGTTTTATACATTTACTATATTAATGTACTAATACATCATATATTCTCTTTTCTGCAGTATGCCATGGAACCTAATTATCTGCATATTTGGCCTAGAAATACCTTTATGATGATTGCACTTCCTAACATGGTAGTATAGAATTTTCTATCAACTATAATTTTGCATCTATAATTAATGTTATTACTCACTTTTGTACTTAGAATGTATATACCTAATTGATCTCTTCGTTGTTTAATCTATTTAGTGATTACAGCTTTGAAATGTTGGGATTACTGAGAAAAAAAATCTGAAGGAATTCCAATTATTTACTTTGGAAAGGAGATTTAATTTACATGGATGAATAACAAGAGTTTATGTGTCAGGTGGCTACTGTCATCTTCACTAAAGACAGTGTAGGAGGAAATGCACACCTCCCCGCCCCCAGTAAAGCCAAAGAGATTTAGGTTATCTATTAGGAAGTGATTCAGCCTTTAAGGTCTGCAAGACATTGGAATACGCATTATCAAAACAGAGCATGGGGCTGGGCACAGTGGCTCACACCTATAATCCTAGCATTTTGGGAGGCCAAGGTGGGAGGATTGCTTGAACTCAGGAGTTCAAGACCAGTGTGGCCAACATAGCAACACCTTGCATCTACTGAAAAAACAATTTTGCCAGGTGTGGTGGCACATGCCTGTAGTCCCAACTACTCAGGAGGCTGACATGGGAGGATTGCTTGAACCCTAAGATGGAGCCTGCAGTAAGCCATGATCATCCCATTGCATTCCAGCCTGGACAGCAAAGCAAGACCCTATCTCAAAAAAAAAAAAAAAAAAAAGAGAGAGAGAAAGAGAGATCATGGGTTTTCTCTCATTAGACCCTAGAGGCTTTTTTGCTAGATAGATATAGCTGTTTCTTTGGTTGGGATCTTTTTCTTTCTGTTGGTACCTGTCCAGGGGTCCAGGGCCTACTCATACTATCTTAAAAGGAAGAAGAGGAGATGCCAAATCTAACTAACCTATTAGTTATTTAAAGAGTGTAGGCAGGGAGTGCTGGCTCATGCCTGTAATCCCAGCACTTTGGGAGGCCAAGGTGAGTGGATCACCTGAGGTCAGGAGTTCGAGACCAACCTAGCCAACATGGAGAAACTCTGCCTCTACTAAAAACACAAAAAATTAGCCAGGCATAGTGGTGTGCGCCTGTAATCCCAGCTACTCAGGAGGCTGAGGCAGGAGAACCGCTTGAGCCTGGGAGGCGGAGATTGTAGCAAGCCAAGATCATGCCACTGCACTCCAGCCTGGGCAATGGAGGGAGAAGACTCTGCCTCAAAAAAAAAAAAAGAAAGAAAAAAAGAAAAAAAAAGAGTATAGTATTTGCTGTGTGAAAATGAAGAGTTTACAGTATCGAAGTTGTCCGAATAATCAAAGAAGCTGGGGAGCACCCCTGGGACTTGGCAGAACTTTTCTTTGGGAGCAAGGGAACAAGTGACAGTGCCTTTACTGTCTGCCTGGACATTCCTTCCAAAAGCTCCCTGGTCACAGCAAGAAGTCTTGTGATTTCGGGACCCACCTACAGTGCCGGCATCACTTGACCCCCTATCCCCTTTCACTCTGTTTCTCTTCTTCTCACAGAACAAATCATTCACATGTACTTTGTTCATGCCCTTTGAAGAGTTTGAAGAACTTCTAACCAGTAGTGATGTGCTGGATTTCTTCCAGAAATACTTTCCAGATGCCATCCCTCTAATTGGAGAGTAAGTTGCAAGTTGTGCTTTATGCTCTGTTTGTTTGAATTATTCCAAATTCAAGTAAAGGTTACGCACCTGATTTCAGCTTTGGTTAAACATGATGGATCGTGCAGTCATCTGTACAGAAACCTACATTAGAGCAGAAGTCTAAGTGGATGTTGTGCTGTGAGCAGGAATTCGGAAAAACACCCATGCTGTGGCCAGTTTCTCCGGGAAAGATGAGCCACCAATGTCCCAAGGCTTTTGTGTATCTTACGCAGGCTCCTCAGGCTCCCTAGGGCTCGGTGTGCCACAGAAACCGGCTGAACTTTTTTCTACTGGTAGATACACAAATCTTTGGCACAGCCGATACATCCGGCATCAAGTCTCAGATCCCATACTTACTCGCCACATAAGCTTTCCCATGTCCCACTCATGGTAAAAGGTTGATAAATGATAGAACCTATCCCAAAGGGTTGTTATGAGGACTAAATGACATCATGTCTGTAAATCATTCAGCACAAGGCTTGACACATATTAAGGTGTCTATCTAGACGCCTCCAATGATGTTTTCATGAAGGCAGCACAATGGTACTGAGAATATGCCTTAGTCACTTCGGTTGGCTATAATGAACCTACCATAGACTCGGTGGCTTATAAGTGACAGAAATGTATTGCTCACAGTTCTGAAGGCTGACGAGCATAAGATCAAGGCGCTAGCAGATTCGGTGTCTAGTGACACCCCACCTCTTGGTTCATAGATGACAGTTTTTTGCTGTGTCCTCACATGCTAGAAGGGGCATGGGATGTCTCTGGAGTCCCTTTTATAAAAGCACTAATGCCATTAATGGGAGGTCCACTCCCAAGACCTAATCACCACCCAAAATCCCCCTCTCTAAATACCATCACACCGGAGATTAGGAATCCAACATGGGAATGTTAGGGGTACATAAATATTCAGTCTATAGCAGAGCAATATTTTAATACTGCTTCTGCCCCTTACCTCCCTGAGTTTCACCTTTAAAATGGGTATCATAATATCTACCCTAGGGCATTTGTGAAAATTAAATGAGCTAATTATGTAAAAGGGACAACCCACTGCTGGCCCATAGCAGGTCTTTTAAAAATTGCTGGTCACTTGCTTTCTTGAAGACTAAGTTAGTCTGTATGGATCCCTCCTTCTCCAACAGTGAAATCTCTGCACACCAGAATTAGCCCTTATGTACTTTTAAACTGGTTTCATGGCTATTTTTTGCCTCTCCAGCCAGATTTAAGATTCTTGAGGCTATGTCTTGTTTGCCTACTTAGAACTTCCTCAATACCTCTATAGATGCTCTACAAATGTTAGGTTTGTTGTTTGCTTTTTATTATAAGCACCATGTTGTAAAATAAATCTCTTATTCTTCCTGTCTAACTGAACTTATTCTTCCTCTGTACCATTTGACCAAATTATTCCAATCCCCCAAATACTAGTTTTATTACTATTATCCATTTCCAAATACATAAAGATTCACATTAATTTTAATTTTGGTTTATTGTCTTCTAATCAAATGCAAAGAAGTATTTGCTCAATTTCTAAATGGAAACCTAAAATATACCACTGTATTTAAAAATCTCATGGCCCAGGTGTATGATAATAAAGTTTTAGTAACATATGATACAGAAATATTTAAATTATTCAAATGCAGCCAAACTTATTATTTTTGAATGTGATTAACATTGTTACAGACCAAGAAGATAATTAGAAAAATGGAATTTTAGGACTGGAAAAACTTCAGTTTTTCTCTTTTCTGTTTTCTTCTTGACATTCTTGTGTATTTTTCAACAAAACTTGGTGATAATAAATTGTGTAAATCTGAAAAAATTTAGCAGTGTTTAATACCTAATTTGATGTCCTCACATTTGAATTATTTTCCTTTGAAGGAGACTCCTAGTGCAGGATTTCTTCTTGTTGCCTGCCCAGCCCATGATATCTGTAAAGTGCTCTTCATTTCACTTAAAATCTCACTGTGTACTGCTGGGGGATGCAGCTCATGCCATAGTGCCATTTTTTGGGCAAGGAATGAATGCGGTAAGTTGTTTTTCCCTGGGTAAGTCCCTGAAATATTTCTGGGTCAGTCTCAGCTAACAAGTCTTGAGTAAGAGGCATGTCTAAGATTATCCCCACGTAATCCCTGAAAACACAATCAATGCAGCAGTCATACCAGTTGTGTAGCCAGATTGATCACCAACTCTAATCAGAATTTGAATTGCCCAATATCACCGAGGGATGAGTGTATTATGCTTTCTGCTTTTTTCTGCTATGGATTACTGGTTTGCTGTATTGATTGTGCTTTCAGGGATTATGTGGGGATATTCTTAGACACTTTTTTACTTTGTTCTGTGGGTTGTCTCTTCACTTTGTTGATTGTTTGTTTTGCTTTACAGAAACTTTTTTAGCTTGATATGATCCCATTTGTCCCATTTATTTCTGAGTTCTCTATTCCGTTCCAAAGGTCTATGTGTTTGTTTTTTTGCTTTGGTTGCCATGTTTTTTAGGTCTTACCTAGAAAATCTTTGCCCAGACCACTGTCTGCAGTGTTTCCTCAATGTTTTCTTCTACTAGTTTCATAATTTCAAGTCTTAGATTTGTCTTTAATCCACTTTGATTTTACTTTTGTATATGGTGAAAGACAGTGGTCTGGTTTCATTCTTCTGCATATAGATATCTAGTTTTCCCAGCACCGTTTATTGAAGAGACTGTCTTTTCCCCAATGTATGTTCTTGGCACCTTTGCTAAAATTGAGTCGATGCTAAAATCGAAAGTGGGTGTATTTCTGTGTTCTGTATTCTATTCCATTTGTTGAGATGTCTGTTTTCATGCCAGTCCCATGACATTTTGGTTACTTTAGCTTTGTAGTATAATTTGAAGTCAGGTAATGTGATGCCTCCAGTTTCGTTATTTTTGTTCAGGATGGCTTTGGGTATTTTGGGTCTTTTGTGATTTCATATAAATTTTAGGATTATTCTTTCTATTTCTGTGAAGAATGACATTGGTATTTTTTATGGATTGCATTAAATCTGTAGATTACCTTGGGTAATATGGACATTTTAACAATATTGATTCTTCCAATCTATGAGCATGGAATATCTTTCCATTTTTTGTGTTCTCTTCAATTTCTTTCACCAATGTTTTATAGTTTTCATTGTAGACATCTTTCACTTCTCAGGTTAATTACTGGGTATCTTATTTTATTTGTAACTATTATAAATGGGATTACTCTCTTGTGTTTTTTTTTTTCAGATTGTTTGCTCTTGACATATAGAATTGCTATTTAGTTTTTTATGTTGATTTTGTATCCTGTAACCTTGCCAAATTTGTTTATCAGTTCTAATAGTTTTTCTGGTGGACTCTTTAGGTTTTTGTAAACATAAGGTCATATTGTCTGCAAACAAGAATAATTTGACTTCTTCCTTTCCAATACGGATGCTCTTTATTTCTTTCTCTTGTCTAAATGCTCTGGCTAGGACTTCCAGTACTACGTTGCATAAAAGTGGTGAAAATGGTCATCCTTGTCTTGTTCCATATTTTAGAGGAAAGATTTTCAGTTTTCCCACATTTAGTATGATACTGGCTGTGGGGATGCCATATACTGCTTTTATCATATTGAGGTATATTCCTTCTATACCTAGTTTTTTTTGTTTTTTTTTTTTTAGAATTTTTATCACGAAGGAATGTTGAATTCTACAGAATGCTTTTTTAGCATCAATTGAAATGATCATATGATTTTTGTCTTTCATTCTGTCGAAATGATGTATCACTTTTATTGATTTGTGTATGTTGAACCATCCTTGCTACCCTGGGATGAATCCCACTTAATCATAATGAACGATTTTCAATGTGTTCTTGAATTTGGTTTGCTTGTACTTTGTTGAGAATCTTTGCATCTATGTTTATCAGAAATATTGTCATGTAGTTTCCTTTTGTTTGTTGTGTCTTTGGTTTTGGTATTATGGTAAGACTGGCCTCTTATAATTAGTTTGCAAGTGTTTCTCTTTAATTTTTTGGAATAATTTGAGTAGGATTGATATTAGTTCCTTTTTAACTGTTTTGTAGAATTCAGCAATGAAGCTATCAGGTCCTAGGCTTTTCTTGGATGGGAAGCTTTTTATTACTGCTTCTGTCTTGTTACTTTTTAATGGTCTATTCAGGTTTCGAATTTCTTTATGGTTCAATCTTGATAAGCTGGTATGTGTCTAGGACTTTATTCATTTCTTCTAAGGGTTTTCAAACGTATTGGCATATAGTTGCTCATAATGGTCTCTAATGATCCTTTGAGTTTCTATGGTATCAGTGTCTCCTTTTTCACCCCTGATTTTATTTATTTAAGTCTTCTCTCCTTTTTCTTAATCTAGCAAAATGTTTGTTGATTTGTTTATCGTTTTTAAACACCAACTTTTTGTTTCATTGATCTTTTATATTATATTTTAGTCTCAACTTTTTTCTGATCTTTCTTATTTCTTCTTTAAAGAAACTTTTAAAATTTCTGAGATTATTCTGTCTTAAAATTAATGTATATATTTTATTTCAATAGCTTTTTGGGTACAAGTGGTTTTTGGTTACATGAAAGAATTACATGGTGGTAAAGTCTGAGATTTTAGTGCATCTGTCACCTGAGTAGAGTACGTTGTACACAATATGTAGTTTTTTATCCCTCAGTCCCCTCTCGTTCTCCCCATTCTGAGTCACTAAAGCCCATTCTATCACTCTGTATGCCTTTCTGTACTCAAAATTTAGCTCCTGCTTATAAGTGAGAACATATGATATTTAGTTTCCTATTCTTGGGTTACTTCACTTAAAATAATGGCCTCCAGATCCATCCATCCAAGTTGTTGCAAAAGATATTATTTATTCTTTTTTACAGTTGAGTAGTATTCCATGGTGTATATATACCACATTTTCTTTATCCATTCATTGGTCAAGGGACATTTAGGCCAGTTCCATATCTTTACAAATTGTAAATTGTCCTGCAATAAATATACACATCCAGGTGAATTTTTTTTTTTTTTTTTTTTTGCTATTGGTATTTTTTGTATGGTTTGTATTTTTTGCTAATTTTTGTATTTTTTGTAGAGACGATGTTTCACCGTGTTGCCCAGTCTGGTCTCAATCTTCTGAGTTCAACTGATCGGCCTGTTTTGGCCTCCCAAAGTGCTGGGATTACAGGCATGAGCTACCATGCTCAGCCCATTTATTTGTTTTTTGTTTTAGTTGCATTTGCTTTAGGGATCTTAGTCATAAATTTGTTGCCTAGGCCAATGTCCAGAAGAGTTTTTCCTAGGTTACCCTTTAGAATTTTTATGGTTTCAGGTCTTAAATTTAAGTCTTTTATCCATCTTGAGTTTATTTTTGTGTAAAGTGAGAAATAGGGATCCAGTTTCATTCTACTACATATGGCTATCCAGTTTTCCCAGCACCATTTATTAAATAGGGTGTCTCTTTCTCAATTTATGTTTTTGTATGCTTTATTGAAGATCAGTTGGTTGTAAGTATTTGGCTTTATTTCTGTGTTATCTATTCTGTTCCATTGGTCTATGTGTCTACTTGTGTATCAGTACCATGCTATTTTAGTGACTATAGCCTTGTAGTATAATTTAAAATCCACTAATGTGATGCCTCCAGATTTGTTCCTTTTACTATTTGGGCTCATTTTTGGTTCCATATGAGTCTTAGAATTGTTTTTTCTAATTCTATGAAAAATGATGTTGTTATTTTGATAGGAATTACATTGAATCTGTAGATTGCTTTTGGGCAGTATGGTCATTTTAGCAATATTGTTTCTTCCAATCCATGAACATGGAATATGTTTCCATTTGCTTGTGTCATCTATGGTTTCTTTCAGAAGTGTTTTGTAGCTCTCCTTTTAGAGATCTTTCACCTCCTTGGTTAAGTATATTCCTAGGTGTTTTATTTTATTTTTCAGCTGTTATAGAAAGGAGTAAGCTCTTGATTTGATTCACAGTTTGGTTGTTGGTGGTGTGTAGAAATGCTACTGATTTGTGTACATTGATATTGTAACCTGAGTCTTTACTGAATTCATTTATAAAATCTAGGAGTATTTTGGGAGAGTCTTTAGAGTTTTCTAAGTATACAATCATATCATCAGCAAACAGTGATCTTTTGACTTCCTTTTTGTCAATTTGGATGTCCTCCATTTCCATCTCTTGACCGATTACTTTCTCTAGGACTTCCAGTACTATGTCGAATAGAAGTGATGAAAATGGGCATCCTTGTCTTGCTTCAGTTCTGAAGGGGAATGCTTTAGACTTTTCCCCATTTGGTATGATGTTGGCTGTGGATGCATCATATACAGCTTTTATTATTTTGAGATAAGTCCTTTCTATGCCTATTTGTTGGGGGTTTTTTATCATAAAGTGATGCTGGATTTTATAGAATGCTTTTTCTGCATCTATAGAGATGATCATATGGTTTTTGTTTTCAATTCTGTTTATGTGATGTGTCACATTTATTGACTTGCATGTATTAAACCATTCCTGCATCCCTGGGATGAAAGCCACTTAATCAAAGTATATTATCTTTTTGATGTGCTGTTGTATTTGGTTAGCCAGTATGTGGCTGAGGATTTTACACTGATGCTCATCAGAGATATTGGTTTGTAGTTTTCTTTCTTTGTTATGTCCTTTCCTGGTTTTGGTGATATTGGCTTCATAGAATGAGTTAAGGAGAATTCCCTCTGTCTCAATCTTTTGTAATAGTTTCAATAGGATTGGCACCAATACTTTAAATGTCTGGTAAAATGCAACTGTGAGTCCTTTTGGTCCAGGGCTTTTATTTGTTGTTGACAACTGTTTCGATTACTGATTCAATCTCACTGCTTGTTATTGGTCTGTTCAGGGTTTCTATTTCTTCCTTATTTAATCTAGGAGTTTTTTACATGTCCAGAAATTTAGTCATTTCCTCTAGGTTTTCTAGTATGTTTCCAAAAAGGTGTTCCTAGTAGTCTCAAATGATCTTTTGTATTTCTGTGGTGTCAGTTGTAATGTCTCCAGTTTCATTTCTAATTAAGCTTGTTCGGATCTTCTCTTGCATCTTCTTGGTTAAATTAGCTAATCGTCTATTGATTTTGATTCTGTTTTCAAATAATCAACTTTTCGTTTTGTTGATCTTCTGTATTTTTTGTTTCAAATTCATTTAGTTCTTCTCTGGTCTTTGCTATTTCTTTTCTTCTGCTGACTCTGGGTTTAGTTTGTTCTTGTTTCTCTAGTTCCTTGAGGTGTGACGTAATGTTGTGGTCAACTTGTGGTATTTTTTTTTTTAACTTTTTGATGTAGGCATGTAGTGCTATAAAATTTCCTCTTAGCATTGTATTTGCTGTATCCCAGAGGTTTTGATGCATTGTGTCACTATTATCATTCATTTCAAAGGATTTTTAAATTTCCATCTTGATTTCATTGTTAACCTGATGGATGAGGTTAAGTAAACCTCTGAGCTGATTAGATGTTGAACACTACTGTCTTCATGGAAATTTTACTATTTTGGCTAGAAAAAGAATTCAGAGAAGAAATAGTGTTTAAAAATTGAAGTGGAACATTTAGTTCAAGGAATCCTAAACTAATTCGTGTGTGTGCTAATAGTTCATAAATATTAATCATATGTTATGTTGGTCATTGGGATATATTCCAAATAAAGTTAGCTTGTGAATCTAATCAATTATATTCTCCATAAAGCAGTGGTAAATATTTTGTTTTATAAAAACATAAGAAGACATTAATTATAGTACAATGGATAAGTGCCCAGGACCTGGCATTAGAATGCCTGGTTTTAAGTCCTGGCTCCAGGATTTACTACAAATATGTTCTTGCACAACTTACTTACCTTATCTTTACTTCCTTATCTATAAAATTGGAATTTTAGACCAGGTGTAGTGGCTCACGCCTGTAATCCCAGCACTGTGAGAGACCTAGACAGGTGGATCACTTGAGGTCAGGAGTTCAAAACCAGCCTGGCCAACATGGTAAAACCCTGTCTCTACCAAAAATACAAAAAAAAAATAACCAGGTGTGATGGTGGGTGCCTACAGTCCCAGCTACTTGGGAGGCTGAGGCAGGAGAATCGCTTGAAGATGGCAGGCGGAGGTTGCAGTGAGCCGAGTTTGTGCCACTGCACTTCAGCTTAGGCAACAGAGTGAGACTCCATTTCAAAATAAATAAATAATTTAATTAATTGAAATAAAATTTTAATAGCGTCTACCTCAGTGTTGTGAAGAGTAAATGAATTAACTTACACAAAAGAATATAAAACTGTTATCTCAGCCCCATATGGTATCTCTCACTTCTAAATCCTATAGTATTGAGACTACGTAATTGGTTTGACAAATAAATCTGCTTGTTTCAGATGTAATCTTTATAACTGATGTGAAAAATATTTTATTTAAAAATACCTTTAGGCTAGGCATGGTGGCTCATGCCTGTAATCACAGCACTTTAGGAGGCTGAGCCGGGCAGATCACTTGAGGTCAGGAGTTCGAGATCAGGCTGGCCAATGTGGTGAAATGCTGCCTCTACTAAAAATACAAAAATTAGCTGGGTGTGGTGGCACACACCTGTATACTCAGCTACTCAGGAGGCTGAGGAAAGAGAATCACTTGATGGAGATTGCAGAAAGCCAAGATTACACCACTGCACTCCAGCCTGGGCGACAGAGAGAGATTCCATCTCAAAAAAAAAAAGAAAGAAAGCAAAAAGAAAAAATATATCTTTATATTGCCTCTAAAGCTATAGCTTGATTTCCTAGGCAACAGGAAACACTGCTTTCAATTCTATTGAGCATAATACATTACTAATTTTGTGGACTTCTTAATATTGATTTAATCTTGAGTTATATGAACTAAATTAATATGTAAGTAGTTTTATCCTGTCACTAAATTGCTCTAAATGTGAATCTTAAAGACTTGAATAGTATAAATATAATTCTAAAACTTATGGTAGAGCAATATAATGTCTCTTCTTCTCAAAGAAGTAATGGAATCTATCAAAATTAGAACACTAACTTAAAAAATCTTGGTCAAATTTCAAATCACTATAACATATATATATATATATAT